AATAAATGGATCCCATGGTATATCGAAGAAAACCATATTCGTGTAACTAGTAACAACAGCTACATCGTGTTTCACATTTTTAATCCCGCAGGGGATTGCGCTAACAGCTTTTCTATTTGTGTGCTCTTTATGATAAACATAGTAGCTGTCATAAGTCCTGCAATTAGGTAAAAAGTATCTAAGCGCGAATCCTTTGACTTCAATCGTTTTCTTTGAAATTTTGTAAGGCCAAAAAAAAACTTTGACTTATTGCTTGTGATCAGGGTTCGTCGAATTCTTTTCGTAATAAAAAAAACAGGCAATATCAAATTTGGGTGCTCTTTCTCCAGGTAGCAAGACTTTGGCGCCCACTACATATATTAAAACAATTTTTACTAATAATTATAAAGCAGCAAGAACTGTGAAAGAAATATTTTAAGTTTTGTAGCTTTCTTTTTAAAAATATTAATAATAGTTTTTCGAATAACTTACTCTCAATGCATGAGCAACAGCTTTAATAATAAAGTCATTAACCGATACTTTAACTGTTGCTTTAGGATCACTAATCATTTGTTTACGTAATTTAAGTATTTGATCAACATTAGATGTTATACTAATATATTGATGAGGTATATTAGTTTTTGAATATGCTAAACGTTTAGCTATTGACCGACGAACAGATGAAATTTCTATATCATGATATCGACGTCCTCCAGATTCTTTGACTTGTTTTTCTTGTGTGTCTGGTGTTGTTTGTTTCGTAGGTTTCTTTTCCTCAGTATGTGGTTTAACTTTAAGTTTATTACTATCAATATAGTTCTGCACGTCACTAGAAATTAACAAAATGAAATTTTTATTTGGTTAAGACAAAAAGAAAAATAAAGTAAAAACCTTTTCATAACAACACCATGCGGGCCGGTGCCTTGTATTGTAGAAAGTTCAATACCATATTGTTCTAGAAGAGTCCGTGCCGCTGGCCCAATAGCATGACTTAATAAAAAATAAAACGTAACTTTAATTATTTATCCGATAAAATGCATACTAAGAGTGTACGGCTTGTTGTTGATCACTTGAAGGTTTTTCTTGTTGATCACTTTTAGGTTTTTCTTGTTTATCCTTTGTTTCAACTGTTTTCGTTTCAGACGGTTTTTGATCTGAAGCTTTCTCTTCAACTTTTGGTACTTCAACATTTTTCCAATCATCACCCTTTTCAACAAGAATTGCAATTAATTTTCCAACTTTAACATCAGTTGAATTATCGGGCATCTAAAATAAATCATAATTTTTTTTTTATGAAAAACAAAAAAATAAAGAGAAAGAATAATATATTTACTAAAATTTTAGCAAGAACACCCTCCTCTTCAGTATCAAGAGTTAATGTTGCTTTATCTGTTTGAATTTCACATAAAGCATCACCAGGATTATATTCTTCGCCTAAAATAGTCAATAATTTAAATTTCATACATACCAATTAATCAATTATCATACCTTCTTTTTTGAGCCATCTAATAATTGTTCCTTCGCTCATCGTTGGAGAAAGCGAAGGCATTTTCAATGGTGTTGATGCTATATAACAAAAAAAACAATTATAATTTTTTAAATAAAAATTACATTTTCTTCATCAATACCAAGAGCTCGAATTGCCTCAAAAGCAATAAGACGTTGACGACAAACATGTGTCGCAATACGACCAATATTACGAAGCATTTATAGGACTAAACATAAGAAAGATAATAATTAGTGAAACAAATCGACCTTATTTTGTGTAAACGTAAATCAAGTAAGATCCACGTTGGTATGATGCATGGGAAATTATGGAAAAAGAAGTCGATTTTTCGTTGGTCAATGATATTTACCAAGGATATCTAGATGGCGCTAATTTTCGATTTACTATTAATTAAATATTTTAACATATTGCTCATTGTCTTTTAACGCTTCGTATTAAAATTATGTTAAATTCAAATAATTTTCACTTATAGATTTCTCCTTTTTTTTTCAAAATGGATAAAACACTGTCGAACAGTATCCTAAATTTAATGTGTTTTAGCGAATGTACTTGTATATCAGGTCGGACTACAATTCGCCAATATTCAATGATATAACTTTCGGAAAGATGGATGTCACTAATTCCCGTTTTCAGCAATCTTTATTTTGATGAATAAAACTATTCGCAATAAATTGAGATGAAACCTTTTATTATTAGAAATGTTCTAACATTATGTGTATCGATATTAATTGTGCCTGACAGTCGTTGTGAATGAGACAATTTAGCAAGTCTGGAAACCGGACCACTTTTTGATGACCCGCTAGGTGCGTATCGTGTCAACTTATAATGACACTACTAAAAGTATATTTCTTTTACTAAAAGGATCTCTAACCCATGAAACTTCACAATCATTGCAGGTATTTATTAGAATATTGTACAAAGTTTAAAATCATAGTGATCATGAGTTGAATCAAGTTGGATAATTTTGATACTTGAAACAAACAGCATGAGAGACAAGTTGAATTATTTATTAAAGGAAAAAGAGAAAGATGCTTTCGCGGGTACTCCAACTTTTTGAAGCCTATCATTTATTAACATAAGTTTTCACGTGTAAAATGTCCGCTGAACAATTGCAAAGAGTCATATCGGTTACTATTTCCAGTTGCACTGTTTTATTTCAGTAATACTCATGTCACTTAATGCAGTTGATAGTGAACTTGGCCTGGTATGTAAATGAGGCATGTCAATGAATTGAATAAATATTCTGCTTTTATTTATTGGTTAAATGAAGCTTCGGAAATGTTTACACAATATAGATTTCTAATTGTTACTAGTTGCGAGATGCAAAACCCATGTAAAAATATTTTTTGAATTTCGACGAGAAATGAGAATAAAATCAATCAAAATTTGATTTTTCAGCTTTAACGATAGGCTTGAATTCATTTTAATCTTTCTTGAACGATCAATATAGTTCTATAAATTGAAACTTCTTTTTTTTAAAGTGATTACGAATGATTAAAATCAAATGAAATCTTTCTCGAAAAAAGAAATAAAGTTTGAACTGGATGATCCGGTAAAAGCTTTGGCCCACCCATCCCGAAAGAGAAATTCCTCTGGGTTGGACGGGACAACCTATTTTGAGCTCTGTTACTCGGTAACTTAGTTCCAAACTTAGATTCATAGCTAAGTATCCTACTTTATTTAGTGACAAGACAACCAGATGGTCAACATAAATGCAATCTGTTCTTTCCTTTTATCTTTCAATATCGATAAAAAACTTATAACACAAAAAATGATATACGTAAAAATAGCAATAATTCACTAGAATCTATATTAAGTCGCCTAGCTACCAACACACGACTAAGGCACAGTCTATGGTGCACACTTGATAGTTGGATAGTCATTTTCTCAGTATATGTCACGACGTATAGTATATATCCCCAAAAAAAAAGCGAACGAAAAAGATGATCGTTGAAACAAAGTCTGTTGATAGAGATCATAGAAGCAGGTTTGACAATGCGATACATAATCATATGTGATTATGATAGACATATCCAATATTTTAATCAATTGTGTTATTTCAATACTGAGTAATTTTCAAATGTTTCATCATGTTTTTTAATATCATTTTCTGATGAAAAATATCTGTTCGATTTCGTTATTCTTATTTTTATCAAACTAGTGTATTCAACATACCAGCTCAATGAATTTATAATATGTAAGAGAAAAAGCTGCGTTTAAATTTGTATACACCAACTTATTCTACATTTACAATAATTGCTTGTAACTTTTTACTTGAAAAATAAATACCGCCCAAAGAAAAAAAATAGAAAACAACACAAAACACAAACCATGCAACAGATTTAGAATAAAAAATAATGCCGTTTCAACGAAGAGAATTAAACCAAAAATCAAATAAATGAAATTCAAATGATTGTGTATCATAAAACGGCTCTTTATTGTTTTCTTACTTTCGAGTATAATAAATAAACTCGAATTAATAAAGAATTAATTAATCTCAAAATTAATTCATTGATAAAGAAAAGTTCTTTTGAGATTCGCTACTTGAAACTAATGAACAAAATAGAACAGTGATTGAATGATAGATGTTAATGAAAAAAACTCAATCTCATAATTAACTTTTGATCTATATTCACATAATAATTTTTAGTTGTTTTTTCGATTTGTCAAACTCAAAATATATAATATAATGCTTTTTTTCTTTAGATTAATACGTAAACATACATCAATAATTTTCAAACAAATAATGAACAAAAAGAAGTTATAAATCTTTCACAGATTCCATCATATTCCTAGTAATACTTAGGAAAATAATTTCTCTTCTTTCAAGAATCTAGTAGAAGTAATTTAAATTTTTTTTTAGATGCAAACTTTGTAGCGTCCATACTCTCTTGTAAGTCAGATCAAGCCAGTGCTCTATAGAAAAATATACTCATGGACGAAAACTTTCTTAAGCTAAAAATTTGAGTTATTATTCATCAATACGATGAAACTAAAAAGTTAATTAAAACAGTCCGATTAATCATCATTCTTCAATTTGTATCGTTTTGGTCGATTGGATTTCTTTTTTTTTTTTTTTTTTGAATATTCTATAAAAGATTTTGATTGTATTAAACTAGTTTAGTTTCAAAATAAATACAATAATTTATAATTGTCTTATTTTTAGCATTACTATAATCAGAATAGAATATGTTTACTCTCGCTAATATTCTATTCACATTTCTTTTGCATTTGTGAATTCTATTAATCGAATCAAATTATGATATTCACACTCTATTAAACTTCGCTATTTTCTATCAGGCTTCGGGATGTAAAATATCGTTTACTGAAAGAAAAAAAAAACAAGTTCGATATATATGAAAAAAAAACTCTCATGATACTGATTACTTACTTAATTCAATTTTTATAGAAATATGAAGAAAAAGAAAAATAGATTGAAAAATAATTGTAACCAATTGGTGGTTATTTGTTGTTGGTCATCATTTCGAAGAAATATTTCTCTATTGACGTATCAATGTTTTATTTTGTTCTTTTCGTTGCTATTCTAATAGCAAGTAAAATATATTCAAAAAATAAATTTATTTGAAATATTGATTCGTAATTTAGATTTAGTTAATATAAATGCTAATATAACATGCTATGAATGTAATGCTTGTACATCAACACCAATAGAAATATCTACTGATAATCGTTTATGTTTTGTATGAATAATAGCATTTTTTTTTCATATCTCTTGAAGATTTTTTTTCTATCACCTAGCGTATTCAAATGAATTGTCTATCAATAGATATACATGTCATTGATCTAACGGGTGATCAATCACACTTAAATCATTCACGATCGAATTGTGGTCAAACACTTAGTTATTCATCAGTATGTGCAGTTTCGTATTATTGTTGTTCAATAGATAAATGTAATACATATGATAATCCACTTTTACCATCATCATCATCATCATTGTTATTATTCAGAATAAAAAGAATAGTATTTAACCTTTATATTATATATTATTTTAAGTACTATAATAAATCTATTTAATTAATAAAGAAAACAAACTACAAAATATAAACATTATCAATCAAATGACAATCATAATTATTATAATAACAAACCAAAAAAAAAAAAATCTAATTTCTAAAAGAATAATTTATCTCTAATTTATTATCGTTTTATGCAATTGTTTGCTACTATGATGTCGTGATAAACCGATTCGTATATCTGGTAATGATATTGGATTATTAGTAAAATAAAATGGATGACAAATGCGATCTAAAATAATAAAATAAAATATAAAGTCCTAAAAATGAAGTAATCTTGAAAATATCTCACAAAACAAATTCAAAGTAAGGAAGAATATTCCTGCCATTTGGTTAATTTGCGTGGTATAGGATACTACCTAGCGACAAATTTGTCAGCCAAATATCTTCTCTACAACTAATATTAGCTGTAGTCAGAAATCCCGTGAGAGTTTCAAGCTGGGCGAAGATGTATCAGAAAAAGTCTCATAGTAATAGTAAAAAATTCAAAGAGTCTGGGTAGTTTTATTGGATAATAATACAAAGAAGAACAAACTCCTGACTTTCTATTATTTCTAAGCATTTCCAATGATTCCTATTGATTCACAATGACGAGATAAAAACTTATTTCCAGTTATTAAAATCAAAGAAATCAAGAAATCAGTTTGTTCAACCTTGGCAATAATAGATAATTTTCAATTATTTGAAAATGTATAATTCTCTACTGCTTTAACGATCTCTAGGTGTAGCTCTCAACAGAAAGCGTGTCTGATGCAGATCTTTTCAGTTTTCCATACAGACTAACTAACCATAAGAACGTGTATATGTCACAACTTAATCAGCATGCTATTGGACGAGTGATTTGAGACTGTCAGTTGTTAGTGACTTGTCCAGTGTCGACCACACAATATACAAAACTTACCGTTTGTTACAGACTGATCAAAACAGGATATTGATGATGATTGTTGTGTACTTTGAAAGATTCGCTATAAAAAGAAAACATATATTCATGCTTAACAATATCGATCTGTTTATTTTTATTTACCCAATTCATTTGATTTTGATTATCATTTGATAAAGTAATATCTTTATAGATATATTTACGTTTAGAAAGATCAGGTGTTAATTGAAAGTCAATCATAGTTGAATGTTCAATTGATGATGATTCAATCTGCTTTGATGGATGATGAATAATGACGTTCGAAATACTCTTCGAATGACATTCATTTAGCTGTTGTTCTTGTTGTTTTCTCCTTTTCTTTTTTAGATAAGCTTTGAGTTGTTTTTTTAAAATAACAGATCGACGTGAGCGATAATATAATTTTTTCTTTGTCGTTTTCTTTTTTGTTTTAGATAAATCATTATTACTATTAATTAGAAAACACGTGACTAAAGAACAGTTGAATAGAATGAAAAAAAAGCAGAGAGATAATTTACTATCATAGCGATCGTGTTGATAAATAGCATAAGTTTAGATGTACGCGTTGCAATCTATTTAAAAAAAATTTTCGAATAGGATTCAACAATCGTTCAAATAGATAGTGGCAAATTGTATTATTATTAAGAATTATAAAAAAGCATTCATTCCTTGAATTATATAAAATATCAAACAATGATGAACATTGAATCGGTATAATTTAAAATATTAGACCAACATTAAAAGTTTGTTAGCATCTTTCTCCGTAAGAAATTCTTATATTTGAAATCGAAAACGATTATATCTCTGAAGCTCTTTACCTTTGTTTTGTTATAAACAGCAGAAGTACAAAAGCTTATTGCAATTCCAGCAACAGAGATTTATCAAGACATAACACGTACAAATTTGTTGCATATTTAGTGAGATCTGCACTTAGGCTGTTGCTAGAACTATGATAAACTTTCTACTTCTGCTATTTATAGTGTAACAGAGGTATATGAGTTGGGTGATATAATTTCTTTTCATTTCACATATACGAGTTTCCTACGAAAAAGATTCTCTAGAAATCTATGTTATTAAAACAACATTTTTATTCTTCGATGTATGAATCAGACGGTACAAAAACGTCTATGTGTGATTGATGTATATATAGGAGATGACTTCAACAATTTTTCAACATAAAACACATTCTAATAAAATATCTAATGCAGCTTGTGGTGCTCTTGCTAATGGTATATTGAACAATAAGATTAGCTACACTTTTTTATAAGTTACATTACGCGCAAGTTGTTTTGTTGGATCATGTATCATAACGAAAATTTCAACTTAGAATAGGCTCGCAACAGTTTGCAAAAATAAATGTTTCGATAATTTTGAAAGAATAAAAAACGGCTTGCTGTAATTTTATCACCGACAAAAAATAAACAGATCAATGGATTGATCTAAAATTTCTTACTAGTGTAACGACTAACTGGATGAGTAGCTTGCCGCCACTCTCGGCAATGATGTTTATATTCTACTTCGTATATCCAGAGTGTGACTACTTCACATATACTACGCGTACATATACGAGAGAGAAAGGGAGAGATAGATGAACATAGATTAGAACAATGGAGAGAGAACAGAGAGATATATACATAGGAAAGAACAATATCGAGACAGAAAAGAGAAGAGGAAGATCAGTGGAGTGTGACATCACTATCGGCATAACTAGTATACTAGAGATTATTGACTATAATCTGACGAACACCAGATTATTCTAGTTCATCTTTTTTTGATATATACACCAAAGAATATAAAATTATTTACTATACAGTTGAATCCTTGTAATATCTGCTGTATATACTGATAGCCCAATGAGTGCTCTGTATAATTCTATAATATTTCACTATTCTTCGGTTGGTGTGATAATATTAGATTTTCGATAAAGCTATTCATTTCTGATGTAGCAAGATAAGAAAAACTTTCGCTACTACAATAAATCCCATATATGCGTAACAGCTGGGAAGCTACTAACTATTTATCGATATACTCATGTGAACCTCGTCGACTGATTTGAACGCAATTCGCTTCGCTATGTCCTTCTTAAACTTTCTACGAAATACATAAATAGCCAAAACAGGAAGTGATACCTGTGGTAGAGCCATAGAGGCTTTAAATTAAGAGTAGTATAAAACTGATGACATGTAAAGAATTAAGAAACAACATTCTCTATACCAAAAAAAAGCCATTGTGCTCACGTTTTTATGATAATCTTCTGTTGTGGTGAACCAGCATATATCTCAACCTACTTAGTTTTTGAAAATGTCAGACGAGATATTTTTTTGCAAATACTACTCATGTGCTGATGGTTTCGAATAATATAAACTTTCACAAACGAGTCCGTTATTAAAAACCAACAGTATATGCAGAACTTGTGGACACCGCTTAAGGAAAACGACAAAATAAAGGAAAACGTGTGAAACAGAATGGACGCTATAGTAAAGTTGTGATGACAGACCTATGGGATTTATTTGTATTAAAATATGGATCATCCATACTTTACAGACACTGAACTCTATTGGCCCCCCATTACGAATTTATTGTGGCTTCCATTCTGTTTCACATTATTTCTCCTTAATTCGTAGTTTTCCTTAAACCGTAACTACAAGAGCTAAAGGCATTCCGTCAAAAATGAATCAATCAATAGTGAACATTCATATGTGAGATATGCCAAGAGGATCAAGAGTCTATTTTCTCTTTTAGATAATATGGAAGATGAGTTCCATACTTGCCAATTGAATTTACTCGAATGACAACGAAAACATGCGTGGAATGTAGAGAGTGCCCATACATATAGACATTCTATTGAGACAGATATTCAATCTGTTCATTGTGAAAGTGATATTTTTGTTAGTTGACAGGATTAATTGAACTGATTAAGAACCGTTTCTCTTTTTTTCTTCTTGCCGTTTAATTTTTGAATCATCCAAATTGTCTTTCAATACGATTGTCAGTCTTATTGAAGACGACACTGTCGTAATTTCATGTGAATTATCAAACCGCAATCTGGGACCAATACTGACGTTTACGGTGGATTATGGTCGTTTGATAGTTACACGAGATTCAAATCATCGTAGAATTCTACACAGTAGAAAGTTGCATCACGGATTTCAAATAATGGTTTCTATCATCTTGTACAAACTTATATTTAGTTTTTTTTATCTTCCTATGGACAAAAAAAACCATTCTTCGATCTTTTTAGTTTTCATACTTATTTCTAATTCCGATGAATGTCGATTATATAGTGTTTTTATTCATAAATAAAATTAACAACAACACGAGAAACCTCTACTCCTTTTTGTGATTGAGTCCAAGTTGACCTATTTTTTACTCGCTCACTTTCCTGCTAGAGCACAATCCAGATAATACTTGTTCTAATAGCCACAGTTTATGTAACGGCGTGACAAAATATGTCGTTGTCGCATGCAATAACAATGTCAATGATACGTTGTTGTGTGCATTATTCAAGACTGATATTAATGTTAGTTTCTAATGCATGGATGCCAAGTCAGATATTAAAATCAATATTGGTCATTCTTTTAATTAGCGTTTGTTATACTGATGGTCAATATGCTGTTATTCAACAAGAATATTTCATTTACAAAATCATTATCGATTATAAAGGAAAATACACATTCATAGTTAAGTATAACAAGCATTCTTGAGATCTGAATTCTAAATCAAAATTATTTCCCATTTTTGTGAAATACTAGGTTTTGTACCTTATTGTTTAGGAACAGCATCTATTACGAACTGCGAACAGAAGTTAAATGAATTAAGTAATACAGTTGATTGATTATATTTCAGGCGAGTTAAAAGTCTGATGCCTATGAATAACATTGATAGTTCAGAATTCAATAAATTACTGTCGATGGTTGATAGAAAACTCAAGGATTTAACTATGGGTGTTGATTAGAAATGCAATTTATGTAAGTGCTTTGACCAATTTGTTAATGTACGTAAAGAAATATATCACATAATCTTTTCTTCTAGTATCAATTGACCCTACCGTGCTGTACGAACTTGTTCAACCAATAATTAGATGGGCAATAGATCCATTCGATATAACAGCGAGATAACAAGGAATATGTCTGCAGATAATTTATTGTCTACGTTTGGCCTAGCAACTGAAAATTTACACGACCCAAGAATTTATATACGATTGTTTCAAGCACTCGAACTTGCATTTGACAACATAACAATTACAGTTATTCAACAAAATAGAAAATTAGAACTCTACGTATTAGACTATGCTCTGACACAATAAACTGTGTTCAATTCAAAATACACATTTAATGACTGTGATTTACAGTCATCAATATTCGAAAATTGGAATCAACCATTCCTAAGAACCCTAGCTGTTCATTGGCGGAATTTATTTTATAGATGCAGTTCGTTTAAGCTTTTTACATAATTTAGAGTATATGGACTTTTCTATTTCAAACTGAATTTTCAATAAAATAAATGTGGAAACCTCGGATATAAATCCGAGTGTTATGTATACTTCAAAAAGTAAATAGGTGAGTCATCATAGCATGTATAAACATCAAAATTATCCTAGCGAGCCATGTTTCTTAAAACTTGATTTCTATTGGTTACTGTTCAACCAATAGGACTTCGAGGCAAGTGGAGTTCAGATTCAAGTTTTATGCTCCAGAAAACCTTTGTTCAACTTTGATAAAATCTCGAAGTATCGCTTCTCTGATTGGAAGATGAGGTTTTAATTTTTGATTGATCACAGCGTGGACAAACACAGAAGCAATTTCCGTTCAAGTATCTTTGCAATAGGTGACTTAGCCTTCTTGTTTCTTAATGTTTTATATACCATTTTGTAGCTCGTGAAATTCTCTATCGAATGGTATATAATAGTTGGAGTTTTGTTTGATTATGAGAGGAAAAGGTTTTTACGAAAAGCGGGATAGGTCAATGTTCGCATAGAAAAGCATAGAGAATAATGACTCATTTTCCGATAACTCAGCGATGACTCGACGAATCATNATAAAGCTAGTATTGATTATTCGCGTGTTACTTGTAATAAAGAATGATTATGAATGATATACAGAATTGAAAGAATTATATTTTAGTTAAATCTAGAGAGTTTACTATTAGATATTATCTGGTTTAGCACCAAAAAAATTGTCGAAATTGAGTGTATAGTGTGTATGAGCGACAAACCACTATTT